GTAAAATGAACTATATTTTTATAAAAAATTATCGAAAATAAATTAAAATAAAAAACTTGGCAAATATTGCGAAAAATTCACTGTGCCAATACTTTTGTTCGTCCCTGTATGTAAGACGAATCAAAAACCAAATTTTAGCCACTTTAAACATTCAATTTAATATATTGGAATTCCACGTGGCAAATTAATCAGTCAACAGGAAATCTTACTTAGGTCAGCACAGATAAATCAAACGCACGTGACTTTTCCCAAAAGTATGTATGTATGTATGCAAATAAAACAAAATTGTTTGCTTTAAAATAAATAAAGAAAAAGTCATTAACAACTAAATGACTTCAAAACCAACAGCAAACAGTGGTAAATGCCATTCAAGTTTGCATTAAGGAAAAAGCACAAAATGGAACCAGTTTGCAAACGCAATAAAATGCAGGAGCGCTGCGCTTATAAAAATATTCATACTAATGGGGAAAATACCAACACAAAGTAAGATGACCGCTGAAGAGTGCACTTGCTAACATATACATATGTACGTAGGAATAAACATATTATGCCAGTTCATATGTAAATATGTACAAGTCTTTGCATGCATACATACATCGGTATATAGTACATATACAATAGGGGTGTTCACGATTCGGTGCATACCGTCTATCATGGTGCATAGATAGCACAAAATAGCATGATTGTTGTTGTTTCATGTGTTCAAACAACATCAAAATTAGCAAATCAGGCTATTTATGCACCGGATCGAAAATACCCCAAACATACTCGGAAAAAATTTGCGAAAAGTCTTACCGCGAGGGATTTGTTACTCAGCAATCACCCTGGCACTCTGTATTTCGAAATGGAGGGAATCAATGTTCTTTGGAAAAATTGCATGCTCTTCGAAAACCCTACAGGCATCTGAGCAACAAGGAGTGGGATATCTGTCACAGAAACTTCATGAGGATGCTCTTGATAGCCAATGTGTGCTGAACATAGGAGCTCTCAGGCAGTCGATACTCCAATTGCCCCTGGAGAAGTTAGTTGCCTTTGATGTGAGGTAACATATTTTCCTAAAGGTAAATTGACGTTTATAGTCGCTTTAATCCTAGACATTTATACTCTTGATCTAATTAGTAGACCCACTGTTATTTTACTGCTATTATCACGCCAAATTTCACGGGCTATCTTACAAGTCTTGATCTATTCCCACCTCCTCCTTTCTTGCTTCGGAAACTACAAGTGGATATCTGCAAATAGTTATTTTTCCGAGTGGATATCCTAGGATCCCTGCTTCAGACTCATCCAAGCAGGCTACTGCCTTAGCGAATTTGTCGCTGTCTCGTTACCTTCTATATAGATATATCTCATATAGATTAAGATCCTACAGGCCTCTCATATGACCATCACGGGGCAATATCTTGTTATCTGCTTGATAACAAAAGTTAACTGTTACAAGAGTTCGCAGAATGCAAAAACTTTACTTACCGGTATACAAATTTGTGTTATCAACGCAGAATAAGACTGTAAATTTTCAAGTTCGTTCGTTTGGTGTAACTACCCCAACTCACCTCTGTAGGCGATTGTTTTGAGGTGAGTTCAAAACCTCCGGTTATACTTTTGCTATGAAAAATATTCTGTTTAAAATCGCCTATTGAGCAATTGAAAATTTTTTTCCAGTGTACAAGTACTTTTATAATTCAGAACTGGTAATGAGTTTTAGGAATCTCAGCAGCAGAAGCTCATCTCGCACTCAACACATTAAGGCAAGCGTATAATGCGTTAAAGCCAGAGAATATAAATGTGGAGACAACAACAAAAGTAAGAAGAACAACAATGACGGCAGCTAACATGACAAGTTTATCAATCAATATATATGTATGTACTGATATATGTACATACATACAAATGTAAGCGGTGTGAAGGCGACGCGACGGCAAACTGTAGCGATTTCATCTTGATTACAGTGTACAACAACATGCTGCGGGTATAAATATATATTGATATACTTGTACGTATATATATATGTACGCATACACATAAGTGTGAATACAAGTCTGGCTTGATTATCTGAGCTGGCGTAGAGCCGATCACCGGCCGGTTTTTTTTTTTT